ATCGCCAGCAACTGCTGTGTAGTACAGCAGGCCATTGCGAGTCGTATACCTATCCAACGAGAAACGGTATAGAGCCGGCAAATCCGACAAGGATTTCCGGGATGGGTTCGCAAGGTGACCCATCAAACGAAGGAGAATCATGTCCCCTGTGTATGCCTTCCGCACGTCATTAAGTAAAGGCTATGATGGCACACTGACTGACAGTGCCGCAACAGTGAGCATGGCCTCACTGTTGGCGCGTGTTGCCGGCTCGAATTCGTGCCGACGTGATAGCGCATCATGGACAACGTTCAGTCGTCCTGGTTTCTACTCCACGGAGAAGTTGTACTCTGCGAAGATAGACATTCACCTCGCCATTCTTTGCTATAGGTGTGGAGTGTTTATGGCCGTGCGTAGTGACGCATGGTCCGTATAGACGATGAACGGTCTATCTCCAAGGAGATAGACGCGAAACTTATCCAGTGCATGTTTTATGGCAAGGCGTTCCTTGTTATGCACTGGATAATTACGCTCATGTTCTTGCAGCTGACGCTATTGATAGCAGTGACGCACTCTGCTCTATCGATGCCAAACTGCATCAACGCACAGCCTATCGCGAAATCGCTGGCGTCACAGACCACATGAAATGGTCTGTCTTAATCTGCAATCGGCAGTATCGGCGGTTGCATCAATCTCTGCTTGATACTTTCAAAGGAACGCTGACAGTCATCGTTTCATGACCACTTAACATTTTTCTTGTGTAAACAAGAAATATGAACAGTCATCTCGGCGTAGTTGCGCGAGTACTTGTGTAAGTACGCCGATAAGCCAAGGGACTTACGAAGTCCCTTGACATCGACTGGCACTGGCCATTCAGTGATAGCCTTTATCTTTTCGGGATCAGGGCGTATGCCGTGTTTACCCACAATGCACCCAAGAAGTGGTATTTTGTTAGCCGCGAATATACTGCTTGAGTTTTGCGTACAATTTATGCTTGCGCATAAGTTGAAGAACCTGACGAAACGGTGTTCTATGAACTTCCACGTCCGTCTTTCCGTCCATAGCCCGACTATCGACGAACACATCGTCGAATTAACTCGGTGCAAAGTCCCGCACCGCTCTCAACAGATTTGTAACACATCTGTTGAATGTTGCAGGGGAATTATTCAGGCCTTGTGGCATCACAATCGACTCCCACAGAATACCGCTGGGATGCTCACTGCTGTGTACGGGATGTCCCGTTCACGCATGAGGATCTGATACAAGCCATCCATCAGATGCATGGACGAGAAGATGGCACTCTTTGACATACCATCTATGATTATGTCCTTCCTCAGTATAGGCGTCTGAGACGGTACCTTTGCAGCATTCAACTTGTTGACTGCGTGCACTATCCGCCATCCTCCTGTGGCCTTTCAAACACAGAAGGTCGGAGAGCTGTGATGGGAAGTTGATTCCCTTATATGGTCCGCTGCAAAGCAATCGGCAAAGCATTTGTCGATCGCTAGCACCTGTTCACGAGGCAGTGGCCACAGCTTCATTACACAGTACTTTGTGCCCGGCTTGAGCTCGATCTCGTGTCGAGTGCTTTTGTCCTTAGGCAACTCGCATGTCACGAATTCAGGGAATACATCCTTGAATTCGATCAAATCCTTATTCAAAGGATTTGCCTGAAGTGACTCCCACGATTGGGATTCATATCTCTCAATCCGAGCCTTCTCATTGATGACGCCTTTGATAATCGATGAACCTCTAAGAACATTCTCGGTCTCAGTAAACACCGTTGCCGATCGAATATCGGTACCGTACTCGTCCTCCGCGACGAGTGCACAGATCCGCTTGACTTTGACACTACGCAGACCACGCAAGAACCGTTTCGATTCTAGCGTCGGCAATTGAGTTATCTCCGAAGTTAGTTTCGGAGGCGCAACCAGATCAAGAGTGTAAGCGCCTACACTTGATCCATTATTAACAAATACATTCAATGTCTCGATTACTTCCTGGGAAATTACTTCCACAGTGTCCAGGAGAGCTTTCTACACAATGTAGTGATCATCTACATTGTGTTCTTGTACATTCGTGCTAACGACCGTACCACGAGTGAGGCCATCGCACTCGCTCGTACTACATCCACGTAAATGTGGGCGTTCCAAGACATTCTTCAGAATGTCATCTGAGGAACAAGTGGTAGGTAGCGTAAACCTATCGATGCTGCTAGCTCACCCTTCGCTCCTATCTCCTGAGCCATGGTCGTCCTATGAAGACATCAAACTTGTCATCCAGGTCGAGTACGATGAACTCATTATCGTACTGTTCACCGTTAAACGTGTAGTGGATTACGACTACATGTTTCTTCACAGTGATCGATGTGCCTTTCGCTAGGCGCACCGTCATTCTCGTTGGAGGGATCTCCCGCTCCACGAAGTTAAAACTTCCTGCCTCTAGCGGCTGGCGACGAGCAAAATTGTTCGACGCCCCACAGTCAATTAGGGCGCGAAGTGACAAGTCCTTTGTCACTTCCAAAATCAAGGTGATGAGAGAAACCACATCAATAAGTGCAGAGACACACAGGGACTGCGTGTCTGGAGCAACCTTCGTCAAGAGATTTGCAAATTCTCTTGATGTTGCTGGATCAGTAGGGCGCTCCGCCCCTACTGACCCCGACCATTTTTTGATGGTTGGTCTCGCTGTTGCGGCTTTGCAACAGCATCGGACCCTCGCCCTCCAGTTCTTCTTACTGGTGGACGATTATTGCGCTCAGCACCGCGAGGTTCTGAGGGGGATACTGCATTCAGATGCGTAGTTTCCCAGTTTATGACAGAGATGGAATCTCACCGATCGCTTGTCATTTGCAGGGAGAGGTTTCTTGCCCTCGACATTACAGAGGTCCATTGGCTCTGGACATCCGACCGCTGATCGTCTCTGCGGACGAAAGGGGGTCAGCATAGTGTGAGCCTGTCTCACACTTAAGTCTTCCTGATCCGCAGCGAAGATTGCTTCGGAGAGCGTCTTTAGCTCTCCGCGGAACAGGTGGTCCCTGGCGGGACCATCGGACAGCCCTTGAATGAATATTGTGATCAACACAAATTCACTCACAGGGTTCACTACCATGCAGCTTGCAATGTAGCGTACATGCTGACCGTAATCGTGAACCTTACGCTTACCCTGTTTGATTTTGAGGGGTTCAGATAGTGTCCTGAACTCTGCCGTGGGAGGCTCAAACGTCTCGCTCACAGGGTCTTGAAGATCCTCAATGACCCAAACACGTTTGAGCGTGCAACTTGAGATTCAGGGCCCAATCCCTGGCGTCCCCTGCCAAGTACGACTGAGATAATGCAACTTTCATTCGCTCATCGTCGATGCGACGGGCCTCGATCTCATCGTCGACTTCGACGAACCATATTAACAGGTACTCGTCCTCGGCTCCGTGAAACTTGGAGACCTCTAGTTTTAGAGACTCCCGTCGACGCTCACGTGTCGACTGCGTGGACGAAGACTGTCTCAGTTCTTCGTTCCGCTGGTGATATTGTTGTTGCAACAAGGTCACCTGCGCTCGCGACTCATCAAGTTCTCGTTGCAAGAACTTGCTAATGACGGTATGCTGCTGTTCTCTATCCCTTGTGGATGGAATGGCCCAGATAGCTTCTTTGCCAACGGTCGAACTCATTCGATCGATCGCACTCCATTCTATATCGCTCAAATGGGAGTAGCTTCCACAGGTTCCGTGAAATCTGTCGCCTTCGTCTTCATCCAACATGTTCAGGTTGGGCGATGGGGTTGTGGTCCTTCGACGGACTACAAAGTGCTTCCAGGTAAACGGGGCACCGACGACTACGTACTGGTCAACCAGTACGGAGTTTACTATCACTGACTGTAGTGATAGTCAGTGCCCAGCTAGGTGTAGAACTACACAGAGGAATATAGAACGACTAAGGTGAAAGACTCTAGTCGTAGGAAAAGTAAAACTGTTATTAATATAATTAAGTCCTATAACTCTTGTATCTCTGTTTGTCCTGACTTAATTATACTAATGTAACTAAATGTATGATGACGTCTACTCACCACCCATTGCGCGCGTCTAGCAGCGATTGGTGGGTTGACATCATCACGATATCAACCAATGAGTAAACTATTCGGTCATCCCAACAATATCACCATGCTTGCGACACTGTTGAAAGAATATTCAACGTAATATTCTCTATTGTCAATTTCTTCTTAAAGACAATTTTCATGTAACGGGCTACCCCGTTACACAAGTGGTCATAGAAAGAGGGTACTGAATGAACACTCGGCACTTGTCCATTTTGCCGGTGGCGTGTGGAAGAATTTCTCGTTGATAGAGCAACACACCGCTTCCTGATCAATAGCTCGCTTCCTGCTGCTCTGGATAAAACAGCTTTCTCGTTCCTAAAAGTGATGCAAGGTTGATTGTGGTCTTGTGACTGTTATCCAAGTACTTCGACTAAATGTTCAAGATTGTTTCTCGCTGCTCTCCCGCACAGTATCGCACCATAAACAACCAATAAGCCATATGAGTTGTGCTGGAAACACCGTTATCCCCGACATGGATTTGTCACGGTATGTACGACTGATGCACGTAGCTTTTGCAGCTTTCGACTTACCCCGCAGCGTCTTTACACAGAATTGCTCTGCATTGACAGCATCAGTCTCGTAGGAAAGGATCTCGTAGATACGTGCTAGAGCCAGTGTATCGAGGAAAGATACGGGTTGAGAGGATTTGGTGATGAAGAAGGTATGAGGATAGAAACTCAAGGGGATTGGCTTCGTGTGTAGGGTCGAGCGCTAACGTACACGGGGCACACGATCGCGGTCGAAAAGCTCAGTAAACAGTTTTTTACCTTGCTTGGTTCAAAAGATACTAGCCAATCAGCGGCGCGTTTATGCGTAACTGATCGCTATCGAGCGTAGAAGGATTCTTCCATGTAGAAGTCAAAAGATATCCCTTCCACATCCATTTGTACCAAGTCGACAACGGATCGGCCAAACAAACCAATTTCGACATGTTGTCTGGAAGTGTCAAAGTGTATGTGGCGTGCACTTCCGTGCTGTATCTGAAATTCGTGGCGGCGACGATGGTACAGGGTAGCAAAAAGTTTGCCACTGGCGGACGTCCTCCTGAAGACTCTAATCTCCCACCCGCCAAACGCAAACAGACCTTTGGTCGTGATTCGACCAGCGATCCCAAAACGCAAGAAGCTGCTCAGCGCTGGGGCAACATCGTTATGAACGATCTTGAGACCATTCCGTTTGGCCTCTTGATTTTCGGCGCGGGTATCATGGCTGGAGCGGACTACAACGTTCACAGTGGTGCGATGGTGGCTTTCACGACGGCTCGTTGTCTGCACACGTATGCCTATGCAAACTCAAAGCAGCCGATGCGCTCCTTGTGCTTCGGAGTCGGGATGATGGCGACGGTGGTGGGTCTGGGCAGCGCTGTCAGCGCAGTCGTGTAGTTTCCGAGACGAACCTGAGCAAGTCGGTAGTTGCAGATGAACGACGACGGTGGATGATTGAATACAAAAACAGACGTGTCCAGTTTATCTTGGAAGGGCTTTCTACTTTTCAGTCTTTTGTACTTGTGCAGTGTGTTCTCCATCGCATCGTCGTAGCGTTAAGTCCGTCCGTGTGTAGACAACAACTAGACCGACGATTGTAGCCTAACTCTCCGATACTAAGTGCCAGTTCAACAACGACTTGACGTCGATTCGATCTCGGTCTTTTCGTGTCTATCCCAATAGCTGATTGTCTTTGATCTCGACTCTTTCGTGTGGGTCCCTCTGTCTTAGAGTATTTACATCCCATTCCAGTTGCCACGGGTCCGACATTCATGCCGGGTCCCGATCGCGGTCGTGTGAATCAGGTGTGAATGACAATACTTACACTTTGGCCATGCAGTGCGCGTCAGGTCTTTTAGGCCTTCATTCGACCATCACTGGCTTTTCCTGCTACCTCACGTGCTTTTTTGTGCGCTAGTCAAAGGGTAGCGGCCTATGTAGTAGGACAGACTTCATCTCACCCGACTTAGACCACACTACTATTGGCATTGATTCTCAGCGCCCCCGAACACAAATACGATTCGGCATGAGTGCTACCGCATTCCTCGAACATGCAGCTGTTGAGGTAATCATACTCGCTGCTGCGCTTTACCACTTGTAAACATCAAGCTAGCATTGCTTGAACGTCCATCTTCATAATGCGGCTTTAGCGCTCGAGTGAGGCCGACAGACCGCGAGTGGGGCCGCTGGTCGTAACTGAAGGCATTGATCATTTGTCGGCACGTCGTGCATCGGGTTACACACAACTGAGTCGTATGGTCAAAAGGATGGCACCATATCGATTGACTTAAGGCGTCAGTCGTAGTGAAGTATCAAGTCAAGTACTCACGATCTACTTACCACGCAATTGCCGATTCATTGTCACGTAAAGAGCGCGTAAACGATATCTGTCGAAGGACACAACGGTGCAGATGTGTTCCTTATTGTGTTGAAGGCAGCTTCAGCTCCCAAAAGCAGGCTTATGATACACGTTGTGAGTGGTTTGCAACCAGTGTAGCTCCATAGATCTGTCTTTCTCGCAAGCGGCGGCGTGCTGTTGCCAAATCGAAACACCCCGCTATCTCGGGCGCAGTTTCGAGCAGTAGTCCCAGTTTCGATAGTCCTCCGTGTGTCGCTCGAAACCCTTGCGTAACGTGTCGCAGTTTTTGCCGATCGGACACTCCCAGGTGAGAGCCAGGCACGCCATGTAGATTTCCGTTCTGCTGTATACAGTCTTCAGAGCCCAGCAAAGACCCACAAACGCCTGTGGGTGCTTGTAGCGGAAGCTGCCGTCAGATGGGGACATTTACGCATCTCCAATACTCGGCTGCTTGACAATGTACATGGACTACACGGCTGCAAGCCACACGTCGTTGAGCGACTTGAACATGTTCTTGAGATTGAAACGTAGCTCACTTCTCAAACAGAGGGTCGAGATTGTGTAGCTGGCGGCCAATCGTGTTTACCGTCGTGTCCAGAGGCGCTATTGTGTTGTTAGATCGTCTCGAAACGCGTGCTCGCGAGAGATACAGCGGAATGTGTCGACCGAGTCGAGAAACACTCGTCGTTTATGCGGCGCGTCTGCTCTATCTTTACGAAGATAGAGCGATAACTGAGTCAGTCGCAGTGTGCGACGTGTTCCCGCGCTCTGGCTCGCAACGTGTCTACCGTAAAAGCAGGAAACGAGCGTCAGGCTTCACGAGGAAAGCGTCACGGCAGAAGGACGCGGTTTGCTTTCGGGTGACATCGTTGTACTTGGGTAGTCGTTGTTTCGGACGATGGACAACGTGACCAGCGAGCGAGTCGCACTCAGAATTCGCCGGCTGTAGACGGTAATGTTGTGTCGATACAGTGCAAAAGTTGGATCCCGCAAACGTTCGCTGCATTGACATACTCCTAAGATTAAACAACTGCAGTCGTCGAACGTACAAATGAGTTTGCGCTCTCAGTCGAGATATCGTGACAGGCGATTGCTCTTACAATAGACTGCGTGTAGAATAATGGATCGAGTCGCTCTTCTTCATAAGTAAGGGCGACGCATACAGAAATCAGTTGCAAAAGGCGAACTATATTTTTCATCAGGACGCAAAGTATGCAAGGACGATTCTACAGAGCACTTAGCCCAACGCGACTACGGCAGATGAACGTGCTTGCCGACACACACGCGACTAACTGTACAATAGTGTACCTCTGGTGGATGCGCATTTTTTTTTTGTTTTTTTTTTTTCTTTGGGGGTTGTTCCTGGAACGCCCCCCCACTTGCGGGTAAAAATAAAGGCCACCCCACGTCGTGATCAGACCGCCCTGTCAACAAGTAGTTCGAACGGATTTCGCACGCTCTCGTCGCGCGCAGCCAGCTTCAACCAGATTGTACCGAGGCGCTGCTGGTTGCACTAACCATAAATCATGATGACCGCCAACACGTTGTCGACATTGTCCGCAAATTGTGGTGCCATATCATATTTTCGTGTGGATTGGCCCGGCGATCGTTTAAGGAGGCTCAACACAATCAGTAAAGCACGTCTCACTCGATCCTCCTCGCTATTCGTGCAACGCCAGTCTCACCGCGTGCTTTGCTGTTGCATTACAAATGGATCGATTGCCCCATGCAACAACGGGAAGCAGCAGAATAGGGCAATACTTGCCAGCTATGCTTGTAACATGAGCGCGTTCGTCTATGAGGACGAAAGCTACTGTTTAGCTGGATTTGCCGCTTCGACATCCGCCTCACGCTTTGTGCTTATGACAAATTCTGCCTCAAAGTCCAAGATACTATTGTAACGAAGGACACAAACTTTGCAATCGAGTCATCCGCGCGGCAAGAGGTAGACGCGCAAAAGGTTTGATTTTGTGTGATACTCACAGACTTTGTATGCCACGAAGAGCTGCGTTTTAATGAGTTCGACAGCCCGCGAAAAGACAAGCGCTGGATAAGGTCCTACGCGTCAAACTTGTACTAGCGACAAGACCTGTACAGCTGCATAGCGACGAGATTGCCTAGGTCTACTGATTCCATTCTGTCAATCCAGTCAGTACTTTCTAGATAACTTATATTGGGATACTTGACCTTGCCATGTTTTGCGCACAATGTGCAGCATCAAAGTATGCAAAAGGGAAGGCGTGCTGCAACGCCTCTAATACGAACACGACCGGTGTTTACGGATGACTGGTATTTGAGCGAAAGCGACTGTTCGATGTTGTCGTAACGTATGGCAAAATTAGAATCGCAATACGTCTTGGCATCTGATGCAGCAAACACGAGGACAAGCGCAACACAAAACACATTGAGTGGCAAACGCACGATAATTCAGAAACAGAGCTGTGGCCGCAGCGGCAGCTCACGATCTCATTCGGAAAGGTAGCTGTTGTAGCCTTAGCCCTGCTGCTTTACTGTACAAATCGGACTCCGATAGCGCTGCCACGGCCAATCGCAACATTCGGGGGCGACACTAGACTTTCAGGTTGCAGTGATCGGTGTCGATCGATCGGAGAAAACAGGCCCAGCTCTTTGGTATAAATGGCCGCACGAAGACGTCAATTTGTCCTATCTTGTTCGTCCCAAACGCAATGCAGCAACATGCGATCCACAGTTGCGAACATTCTTCGGCTGTACAAGGCCACACAAAGCACGCGTACACATTTGGCGGCAAAAAGAAGTCTGCTAACACGGTCGCGATACAAGTCACCCACATGCAAAAGGGGGTACTGCCACTACAAGATCCAACCACTGCACTCATTATCAGAAATGAATCCGTCACTTGTATCGCTTCTTTTCATCCGATCGGCCCTTTCGTGAACAACGACTCTACGACATGGTACGCTTCTGTAGCGATTTCCCGCGGTGGTTAAACACATGAAAGTCCGGACAGGAGACGACAGTAGCCAGCGACCTGCAGTATTCGTATATCAACACAGCACAAATATCACACACCAAGTCAACAGCTTGTCCTCATTCTTGCTGTTTTCTGGACATCCCAATCGATTCTCATACCTAAAGTGCAGTGCGTCGTTGGATCGTATCGGTAACATCTCTCCCGACGTAAGCAGGACGCCCACCAACGAGATACAAAAGGCCAAAGTAAGTTCCACGAGTACCTGTAATGCAACAGCACCACCAACAAAAGGATGTTAGTCCAAAAAGACCGACATGTCGATAATATTGTAGAAAAGGACAAACTAAATAGTACCTCTGTCGGTGGCATTTGGGCCTCCACAGTTTCGGTCAGCTTGACGTAGTTCTCGTCTGTAAATAGTGCATTTGTTAAGCGATTTTTAGCTTAAACCCCCTATCGATGGCGGGTCGGCGAAGGAAGCGTACATTGCACCGAGTAGTAGCCAGCGTGCACGAGCAGCAGCGCGCCCACTGCAATCAGTAGTTTGCCCACCAGCAGCGCCATTGTTTTCCCACCGTTAACGTCAGCGATACGAAAGCGAGATAAGTGCCTTTTGTAAATCGCGTACTTAAGCTGCATCAGTTCCCCTCGATCCCAACCCGTGTCAGCTCGAGCTATGGGCCATAAGTACGATCAATTCGAATACAACCACAAGCAGGACTTTTACTACGATGTAATCAAAAATCCAACTGAAAAGAGGTGGCGACGTTGGAACGCTTTGTGCAAAATCTTTTCCTTCTGTTTGATCGATCGATCGATCCTCCTTTTGTCCAAACCGTTTATCTATCCATGCAAAACATCCACGAATATCTGGATCGCAGTAAAAAGCAGATACCTACGCAACCGACTGCTTGTCACAAATGTTTTGGGGGTTACGCAGCAGCAGTAGCAGCAGCAAACTCAGCGCATCGCCCGCAGCGACAAACCGCACCAAAGCGCCGCTCGGGTCGTCGCAACAAGTTCAGAGCACTGCAACTTCATCTGCAACTACCGCACCTTCTCACGTACTATCGGAGCAACGGCGCAGTGAACTGTTGTTCGCCGCTCGCACGACGCGCACCTTGTGGGTCGATAACAACGACGCGCGCTGTTGTGCGGCGCCACTCGAGGCGTCGGGTGCACCTTCGCGCTCATTGGCTACTTCGTTGCCCTCCAGCGCTTGTCGCGAAGCGCTCGATGACCTGCACAAGGACTTTTCCAGCTTTTTCACGGCCTTAGAAGAGCTCAAGCACGACCTCTTGCCGCCCCACGACGTGCAGACGAGCAGGAAGAAGGAGGAGGAAGGAGAAGAAGCTGCTGGTGCTGGTGCTGGAAGGACCCAGAGGTCGACTCAGACGTACAAAACGCTGTTCCAAGAGCTGAGCGAGCAGGAGGTGTTGCTTGACCAATGGCAGTGTTCGCACAGTCCACGCACGAGCACCATGACAAGACACGGTCGAGACATGTCGTTCTTGTTGGCATTCCGGGAGCTCCTAGCGCTGCTGAAGAAGACAGAGGTAGCGGATGTGGTGTACCGTATTCAATCGTTTGTCAAGAAAGCAGAGCTGTGGGATTTACCTGAGATGTTGGGGGCAACGAGAGGCCGACCGGGTGAAAGGATCCACGATTTTGTTAACAAGCTTGTCGAGCAGATCAAGCACAGCAAGACGCTGACAGCGCTACTACAAGAGGACGTAGGAGACAACGATGCGCAGCAGACCCACAACTACCTGAACGTCCGCGATGCTGTTGGAGTGGACTTGCTGCACGAAGTGCTGGAAGCGTTTTTGATGGAGAAGCTATATGTCAAGACGCTGACTCCCTCGGATCAAGTGGCAAAGCAGGACGACGCTTTTCATGATCGTATTAGCTTGCTGGCTTTTGTCACGTTAAAGCATCTGGATCTACCCGAGCCTAAGACGGACGAGCAAGAGCATACGTGGCTCCGTCTGGCGACGCAACTGGAAGCTGCGACGCTGTACCCAAGTCCACGGCGCAAAATGGACGGTATCTTGCGTGTGTGTCAAGACCTGACATCATTCTTGAAGATGCAAAATGGTGACAGATTTCCGTCTGCGGATGAATTCTTGCCCGCGCTGATCTATGTAGTATTGCGTGCCAATCCGCGCGAACTCAAGCGCAACGTGGCCTATATCCTCGAATATCGAAACCCTGCCAAGTTGGTTTCGGAGCCAGGCTATTTCTTCACACATCTGGTATCAAGCATTGCCTTCCTGGAGGAAGTTGACTGCTCTCGACTGACCATTTCGGCTGAAGAGTTTGACGAAGGGCTGCGCCAAAGCAAGAAAAGATTTGTGCTAGGTGAGGAACTTCGTGAAGTTGGCCTTGGTGTAATGGGCGGCGACGTGATAAGCTGCAGTGTGAGGACCGCGAACAACGCTACGGCAGCTGAAGATCGAAAGCAGATGCGTCCTCGTCCCGATTCCTTTGGTCACGCGATGGACGAAGACAAAACGTCACTGCGATTCCCCACCGTTCTTGACGTTCGTGCAAAACGTCTGAGTTTGATGGCCGACCCCCACATGCGAGGAAACGACCAAGACATGCACCGGTGACGACCAGCAGCTGACCACCAGTGTTGGGACGATCTTTGCTTACGGGATGCAGTAAATGTCTAATGCGATACGGAACAAGATATGGGTGCATAAGCGTGAGGCGATCGAACGACTCGCTGAACGCTAACGTCCACTGGAACGTGTCCTGGCTCTGAGTTGCTGGACCTCGTTCATGTTTGTCTTCGACGCATCTGCCGCAACTAACGTCAATGTCCGTCGGCTTGTCAAGTTAACGTATCGCTTGGATCTGCATCCCAAGAGCAAACTGTTGTTGGAGGGTGTCAGCGGTTTTGCGTCAACATGTTGCAAGGTGTGCGTACAAGAAGACAGTCTTACCTTATGAGAGGATCGATGGATCCGTCCAACTGGAACAAATGAACAAGGCTGAGCTATCGATACGCAACGATGCGCATGCACAAGTCTAGATAATGTTCACGTGTCGACGACCCGTCTTTTAAGCCGTCGCTGCGAGGCTAGGCTACGACTAAGAAAGCCGAGGCATTCCAAGATGGTAGCACGCTCGTTGGATGTAAAGTAACATCATAAAGACGTCATCAAAGGCAGCAACTTGACAAGTTAGGGTCCATCAGCTCTAGGAACAAGTCCTAAGCTATCCTAAAACTCACTAGCAGACTCGTTAGCGTGCAAAGGTGACCAATCGATCAACCAATCGTGCATCAACGGTGGGCAACATTACTGTCGTCCACTGGCAGAACAGACAAGTCCGATGCAGGGCTAATATGACCAAATCTGTCGCTACAGCTCAATTGCGACCAGAATGGTCGTCATGGCCGTTTGATAGTAGCCCGCGGTAGCTACATAAGCAGCGGGCGTGAGGTCCGATCCGGGTTTGACGACAGCGATGCAAACTACGACGAAAGCTCTTCAAACAGCGTGCCACCTCCCGTTGTGAACTGTAGTGGATAGTGGCCACGTTCGCGTCCCACGCATCAAGTGGGCCTGGAACGTAGTGCACGATTCCATATATCGTCCGCGACCTTGCAAAGGCGAGCTCGAGATCGAGCATCGATGCCACTTCGAGTGCTTTCACGCTGGCTCGAACCTCAGGCCATAGGATTTGCGTCGACTCTTCACCATCCCGAGATGTACATTAGAACTAACGCAATGGCGTCACGCATATCTTTTCTGCAGATGAGGGATGATGACGCAAAATTTTCAGCCGTGGAGCTCGACGCCTACAGCCCAATCACCCAGACGACGGCTTGCCGTGTTACTTCAGTATGGCCTGTCTACCTTTTGAGCCTGTGAAGCATAGGCAGAGATCAAATATAGAGGCAGACAATCAAGAAATACACGTCCGCTCGATATCGATCGCCTGTTCAACTGTGTATGTTACCAAAGAGGAAGTCTTATCGTGTGAGCGGAGAAAGCCAAACACCTCGAAAGATGGTACATTGCCTCTAGTTAAGATGGTAGAAGCGCAACTGCTACGATAACGACTCGGCGTGCACGCGACGAATGTACTGCTTGTAACTGTCCGCAATACGTTCTGCCTCGTGTTCGCGAACGGGTACCATTCCAGGGAGGTTGTCCAACCCGTGTTCAACGTGAATAGGTTTCAAATTGCGCTCGAACCACGCACCAAACTGCGCTGCTTCCACCATGTCGATATGAGTGTTCGGCGGCGAGGTACCCTTTGCCCGCAAGATCAGGATGGCCAGGTCGTTCTCGAAATAGTGCAGCAAGAGATCGGTGTAGATCGCAGTGTACGCTTCTGGCTCCAGCGTCTGGGCGAGAACCCGAAGCGCAAGGCGCATGTAGCCAAGTGAGAACGAATTGACCGCATGTACAATGAATGCCTTTTCGATGGCATCGTTTGAAAAAAAACGGCGACGTCGCACAGCCGTGTGTATCAGCGGAGTAGGGTGGAATAGTTCGCTCCTTGTAGCTTCCAGCGCGAGCTGCTTGGGCTTGCTTGACCGAAGCACTTCTCCGACATGGTCAGCAGCTATGACGAGACCTGTCCTCAGTACGCTGACGGCTCTATCGACCGAACCTTTCACAGAAAGCTGCCGATTCTCTTGTAGCTCACTGCCGCTGATCAGGTCCCCCCGCAGTCCCTTGGCAGACTCGTGCTCAGTTTTTTTGGCTTCAGATGTCGAGACGTCAATTTGTATGGCAGTCGAGCCGAGCCCTGTCAAGACGGACAGCACGCCACCCAAGATGAAGGCACAGAGGTAGAAGGACCTCATGGCTTGCGTTTGATGGGGTCTCGGACGAGCAATAGACAACAAAGCGCAAAACGAAAAGTAAATAAGTCGGAACGGTTCGACCGGCTGGCTGCTTACTTCGGAGACAGAGAGAGCAGAGCTTCAAGGCACCTCATCACCAATGATCGATGGGAAAGCAGTCAGACGAAAAGGGACCAAGACGCCTATCGTACAGGATGGGTGGAGAAGGTCTCGAGTGCAGCCAGGCAGCAAGAAAACAGCGCGGCGTCTGCTCGTGTGCAGCAACTCACCTGCGGTAGATGGCTCCGACTGATGCTGGAAGTGACGTGCAATAATTAGCGCCATTAAATTTGCAGCCCATTTTCCTCGAGCTCCACTTGCTCCGCCTCTTGAAGCGCTCGTATTTCACGCAAACATTCGCCAAGACGATTCGCAATCAATCTGTCAGTCGGTCCTGCACTATCGGTGTTGCGATACTCTCGCTGGAAGATCGACTGCACCTTGTGCAAGAGTTTCCGACCATTCGAGACCCCACGAAGCCGGGCACACGAGATGACGTCTAACTTCGGAGCTTGTACCGGAAAAAGGCTAAAGGGATTAGAACGCTGGGGTGTGTGGTCGTGCGAACATTCGTCAGCACGTCTTGCTGCAGTCTTGCTGCACTACCTACGAGTCCAGCACACCAGTTCTGCCTCGATCGTATGGACCAGTACTTCTACTGCTAGCCATTTGCGCAAGCAGAGAAGAAATGTCTCCGACAAGGCTTAGCGTGGGTGCTTCGATCATCGTGGAACACCGACGTTATCCATCGCGGTAGGTCGTGTACGAGTAAATCTCAAAACCAGTACCACAAATGTACAAAAGTCCCAAAACCAGTACTATACTCAACTCAACCATTAAAAAGCACGCTAAAAAGTGTCAACCACAATATACTAAACTGCAACACGGGACAAGAAACTGCTTAATCGCTTAGGAGAGCGAGACGGTAGTAAGTGCTACAGGCAATGGCAGCAAGTGCGGCGGCAAGTAAGTTCAAATACATATGATTGGCCCTTTCGTGCCCAACGCTAACAATCCATATAGCTACCAGATTTTTAATCGTCATGTACGCAGCTGTAGAAGCCTTAAATTCCGTGTCCGACCAATCTTCCCCTTGTGGACCAGCAAGGATCGTTCAGGGTGAACGATTGAGGTAACATCGGTGGTCAGGGCGGCACGCCTAGGCTCGGCAATCTACTGACCCAGAACCTATTACGGGCTTCGATGCTGAAAAGCGCGGAGTTGTCGAGAACGTGTGGGGCCCTATGGGTATACCCACGCCCGACAATCTCGCACCTGGTCCAACTGGAGCTGACATACATGTGGGCACCGGCCTGCCCAATCCGTATAATCAATGTTAAAGGGCATCTACGGTTTAAGGTAAGTATGATACGCATTCACCAATTGCCGCTATTGGCGGCTAGGGACCGTACCCTCCCCAGTCTTCCCAACATCCAACTGCAGCAAGAGTATGCCCGAGCAACTACAAAATTTACGATTCCATACAACATGATGATGCGAATGGCACCATCGACGAGCGGCAGATGTTTGCCTTGGCTATCTTTGGCGTCATTCCCGGTGCACCGGCCCCAATGCCTGGGGCTCGACGTGTCGCGGCGAACGCACGCTACACGATTACTGCTACCCATCAAACAATTTGTACCTCCACGCGTCGTACATCAAGCTGGAGCGAATACCACCGCCATCAGCAGCAGATTCCTCTACCCAAGCCTCCATTGATCAAGCGCCGCCTTCGCGACAACATCTCGCGAATGTCAAAAGGGATCTACTCATTGTCTCATTTGGCGCCCCCGTAGCTCCACAAGGCCCAGTTGCGTTCCAGCAGCCACTGCCGCCTTTAGAGCACCACCAGCCGCAGATAATGGCAACGTAAGAGGAGCAACACTTGACGATGTACGCAGACACGTTTGGAACGGGCCCACCGCTTTTACTCGCGCGTGTTCCCAAAGGCATATCGCCAGCTGCTTCAATCAATCCTTCATTAGTATTATGCCAACCTTAATCAAGGCTGCAAAACAAGACGATTTAATCGAGACACGATGGTAGCTGGTTGCTATTTAGTAAGTAAACACCGGGCGCAAAAGGGCCAAAAGTGTATATTTACTTTACTTGTTGCCTCACTTCCTGCCTCACTTCCTGTCATTGTAGAAGTTACTTGCTACCGCCTCGCCTTCCCTAGCAAACTAGCATTTTTTTATTCCATGTTGCAACTAAGTGTAATGTCGTTGACACTATTTAGTGTGTTTTTATACTTGAGCTGAGTATAGTACTGGTTTTAAGACTTTTATTCATTTTGGTACTGGTTTTAATATTTAGTCTAAAAATATATGATACGTTTGAATTAATAGCAAGACGCGGTGCCATGTACCGCTGTCATTTTGTCAACTGCCGAGACGATCACAAATTACATCCCAACTAAAACTGATTTTATGTATTTGTGTAGTTGGAGATAGAGATGGCGCCAGGTAGTCTTTCAGTTGGCGCTGTTTAGCGCGTCCTCATCAGTGTCCAGATCTTGAACAGTGGTCCTACGTTACGTGCCTTGTTGCACGAATGCTGGCCGAAAACTTGCCAATTGGGCGTGGCCTCACGCGTTGGTCTTGCTAAATGCAATGTACGCTTTTGGTCACTCTTCCGTTTGCAATCGCGCGTCGCGTCCGACACTGTGCCGCTTTTCACCTCCAACGACTGGTCGTGTCACCCATAGCATCGCAGTCGCATGCTCAGTACTACTCTGTCTCTGAGACGTCTCTTCGGTGTAACGGGGTAAACCCGTTACATAAAAGTTGATGTTTAGTATCAATGTTGAACATTATCTACTAAGATAATGTACAATTGACATTACCCGAAAGGAGTAGGGTTATAGGAATATTACCCCCGAGAATAACATTTTTATGATGGGTTGCTCCACTTGATGGTTGATGTTCACGGTGCATTAACCAAGTTTAACGACCAATAGCTGCTGGACGCGCGAAATGGGTGGTGGACAGAAGACCCACATAGGAGACAGTCGTTTAACATAGTTAGATCAAGACAAAAGATGATTTGGTAAGAAAATAACTATATCTAATAACTGCTCTACTTTTCCCTCAAGACAGAGCTTTCGCGTACTGTATTGTCTTTAACGCGCTTAATCACGCCACGTGTACGTGACGTCGGGTGCACACAATCTTGAGCTGAATTGGCACAAGGCGTGCCCCGTTACATTCGGCGACTCAAGCATTACCCTTATCAAAAGTAGAAACGAACAATCGATTCCACATATATGACCCGCCGAAGAAAAAATCGCTCTTTGTTGCAGTCAAAGCGCCCATTTGCCCTCGGAAATAAATGAGTTTTTTCCAGCAAACGCGAGGAGCACTGCTGTAAAGTGGTTACGCATCGGTTGATAAGCGACACAACATGTGTGTTTATACACCAGGGGTGAGACCCCATTCGAAATAACATCAGAGCACCGTTGGAGGCTGACGTGTGTCACCCACCAGATGTACAAGATCTTGAAAGGGTACCAGTTTATAGCATTATTATTTAGATCAAGTACGTTTATTATGATATGTTCTTCTAGATAAAACAAATCTGTTTAGCTCCCCTACTGATCCCCATTATACAAGTGCCTTTCTAAGGAGTCTTCAGATTGTTAAGAGTCTAGTAGACGCCTAGTATAGGTAGCTACTCTTAAGCCATCTGTGCTGTGATTCTTTGAATCGTTTGGTCTCCTGGAACATGGATCGTAAGCTCTATGATCTTGTTGAATTTTCTGAGTTGGGTTATTCGAATTAAGTTGCCCCTTAACCGCAAACGTGTTCCTCTGACCTAAGGAGCTGTGCAGCTGCGCTACGGCAGTTGACCGTGGCGCTGGTAAAACGCAAAAACACAGACCACAAACAAGAGATACCACATGGCACATTAAATACGCAAAAAAGGGCAGAAAACTCGAACAATGACACTGAACAAGACAATAATAGAATCAAGCAGCATTCATGGACTTCCCAACCCAGCCGCTATTCTTAGCTTTTTATACCCCCACATATCCGTATGGGCCACACCAGCGCAGCTGTAAAAGTGATGAGATGTCTGGAATTTGCAAGTGGCAGTAGTGGTCACACGACATATTTCGTGGACTTTAGATATGTGGGTTAATTTCTCACTTGTATTTCATTATGCATATGAACAAACTTTTGTGACCGCTCGGGGTCTTTTCCGATGTCTTGCCGAGTGTGCTTGAACACCACGGTAGTAACCGATGATTCCGATCAGAAGGAAAAGAACCAGCGCACAGTCACTCGTCATGTAAGGAAACGTAAGTGTAGCGACGTTGTACATGCTATTTAAGAATGGCTAAAATGTACTTGCTATAAACAATATTTTGGTGCTATTTAATGGTGAGAAATCTATAGATGAAAAGCGTCTGTATTGACTTAGCCTGGGGAGTTCTCATCGAGTACTTATCGTATCAGAATGAGTAAAAATGGAAGATGAGTAAAAAAATGCGCCCACGCCACTGTATAACTAATGAGGCGATACCAGTCGCAGCCAACAAGCATCTAAAGTTGGGCCGTTGAGGCACTCTCAGAGTAGGTGGTGTTACGTTTCAACGGCAATAGCGCAGCCTGGGTATCGACATTGCGTCCCCACTGGATGAGCCCAATATATAAAGGAGAAGCGAGACCCGACAGGTATCTGTCAAATTGCTATGAGAAACTGGAGATCTTGGATAACCGGAAGCAAGAGCGCCTGGTCTTCACGAATATACTAAATGACGACCAAGGCACTCTTCGAATTGTCAGGATCAAAAAAACTTCATAATGGGTGAGGTATTCGGCGAGGCAACAAGATGCCAAAGACGACTACACGCAGAGCATTCCTCCGTATACGGGAGAGACATATAGAGTGTGGTAGAGTGATTTCGAAGAAAATTAGATCCCAAAGTAGGCTCGGTGAAGGGGTAAGGAGTGACCCTC